GCCCAATGGGCAGAAACACGTCAAACTTAGTTCCATCGATTACATGCTGGTCTGTAATTCCCTGCTCCCTAAGATAAATAACTTTAAGGTGCTCCCCTATTTGGAAGGAGACCATTTACCATTACATCTGCAGTTTATACTTCTGCTCAAGCTGGAGTGATCTGCAGCATTATACTCAGTCAAGATTGAGCACACAGGTAAAAGAGTTAAGTGGACAGAAACGTTAGGTAGTAAAATCAAGGAATTTCTGAACTCTGAAATGTATTATATTTCTCAGAGGTATATTACATCAATCGTAAATATAAATACCATCCCAGATCCCCTAATTTGCTATCAAGATCTGATAAATGAACTTACCAATATTTTAACCGAACCAGTTAACAGGAAACTACATCAACCGCACAGAAACTCCAAACCTTGGTTTGATAAGGAGTGTGCTCATGCAAGAAAAGAAATGAACTCCCTTTATGCTCGGTCTTTAATAATTATGGACCAGGGAATAGAATAGAGGTGCAAAGGGCTCTTCTGAGTACTAAGCAACTATATAAAAGCATAATTGTAAAGAAAAAAAAGAGTATACCAGAAAATTATGGGAGGACCTTATCCAGGCTGTGAGAGAAAAAGACTTCACTTTTTGGAGACTTGTCAATGTAAGGAGCACTAGGACAAACCCCCCCCAGATTTGCATATTACCCCTGATAGATGGACCTCCTTCTTCCAGAATTTATATGATTATTGTATTCAGACCCCTTTTTCTGATATGAAGGGGGACCTTCTGTTATGGCCCCCAGTTAGTCATCAAGAAATAAAATATCGGCTTCCAGTTTAAGCGTTTCGCCACTCGGACATGTCCCGTCTTGCTCTGATGGGGATGCGCCAAGACCCGGCTGATGGGAGGAGTTCAAGTTCGTCCCAGACCCCCCGGGGTCTCTGTAGGAGACCCCCAACCTGGGGAGCTGAGGAGAGCCTCTTCCAAGGGGACGCCCGAGGAATTGAGGCTCACCTTCTTCCCTGATAGGTACCGTCACCGCGGAGCCAGCATGGCGCCTAGAGACTGCTGGAGCAAGCGATCACGACTAAACTTGTAAAAGTCTTCCAAAAGATCTCCAAGGCTACAAACTGTGAGTTAAGCAAAGCTCAGGTTAAAATAAGCGGAGGGAGCCTTGGTAGTAATTGGAAGTGCCTAAGCTTGAAGCGTGGGGGGAGGAGATCCCAAGCAACCCCATAAGAGTAAACTGTAAAAAATGGTTTTAAAGCGGAAATAAAGAGACTTTGAGCTAAACCAAGCGCATAAGAAGTTAAGCGAACGCATAAACTGCCAAACTACACGAAGCGGAATTAAAACGTACAACTTTTGCTTTATTTTGGAAAACTTACTTCTTGTTGATATTATGGCTGGGAGAGGACGGAGAACGCCAGAAAAAAAACTGGTGACCGGAAACAACATACCAACAACTCCCTCCCAGAACCAGGAAGTAGCAACAGACCTTTCTTTGCTGTTAGCAAATGCATTGCGCCCTCTAATGGAACAGATGACTACTCTCAACTCCAAACTAGATAATGTGCAAAAACAGCTAAAGCAGATGGACAAGAGGACTACAGCAACTGAGAAAATGCTGAAAAAAATGGAAAAACAGACTGAGAGCATTAATAAAAGAGTGGATGAAGCAGAGAAGGAGAGATCCTCAGAAAAAACACAACTAATTCAACTCCAGCTGGAAAGATCCATGCATGTTCTACGTTTCCATGGAATACTTGAGGACAAGAATGAGTATTTAAAGGAACTTTTGGTGGTTGCCTTGGCCCCACTAATGGATTACAAACAAGAAGATTTAATTAAGGAAATGGATATGGCATACAGGACTTATCTGGATTTTATAAAGCAAAATAAACTTCCAGGGGAAACTTATATAAAATTCACGAAATGATCAACCAGAGATCTGGTGCTAAAGTCAACAATGGGGAAATCCTTAAAAATCAAGAATAAAGAGATAAAAATGTTGAAAGACATCTCATTCAAAGTAAGAAAAAGGAGGAAATCATACAGGATGCTTACTCTCTCCCTGCAAAAAAAGTGATTATCGTATAGATGGCTATTCTCGGAAGGGTTGAGTTTTACTTATCAAGATAAAAAATATAAAATTGACTCTGTTCCAAAAGTGGAAAAAATTATGGATCAAATGTTTAAATGTAAAAACGAAGCAGAAGGAAAAGAACTTAAAATCGGATGTGGAGGAAGAAGAAGAAGAGGAGTCCTACTCACAGGACTCAAAAAGCCAAATATCCTCATCTTCAGAATCATCTGAATTGGAGAAAGGAGAGGCCATTCCCAAATTACAGAAAGCGAAGAAAACCAAGAAGAAAAGTCTCTAAAATTAAAGCATGAGTGCTAAGGGCAGTAATTGTGTCAAGCTAATAATTTTATACTTTTTATAATCGAACTAATCTCTGTATAATCAGTAACAATAGGTTTGAAAGAACTATTTTTAAGCTTTCTTGATCGTGATTTGTATTAGTATGTACCCTTTATGTACCCTTTCCCCATATCCAGTAGATGATTTAGGACAGAATGGTAGTTTTTCCTTCCCCAATCCAGTAGAGTATATGTATGTAGATTTCCCTAACCCAATTCCCATAGTAATAGTGTTAGGGCATTAGTCATCCTTACCCCATCCCATTATTTGTAGTGTGTAGAAAATGCAAAATAAAAAAAAAATTCCCCTTCGCGGGGCCCAAAAAAATAAAATATCATATAACTTGTCTAATAAATGGAAAAGCTCCAGGTCAGGATGGTATTCCTCCTGAAGTTCTAAAAGAAAACCCAGATTGGTGGGCACAATTTCTTGCACCTCTGTTCACATACATTGACCAAATGGGTCGTGTTCCTAAGCAATGGAGTACATCTTTTATAGTTTCTATCTTTAAAAAGGCCAAAAAAAGTGATCCAGCAAATTACAGGCCTATTAGTGTTATAAGCATCATCAGTAAATTGTATTCATCTGCTTGATAAATTTGAAATGTGGTTAGAACAAGAGGAGATTATCCCACTAGAACAAGCCAGCTTTAGAAGAGAAGAAGAGACTGGATTTATACCCTGCCCTTCGCTACCCAAAGGTGTCTCAGAGCGGCTTACAAACTCCTTTCCCTTCCCCTCCCCACAACAGACACCCTGTGAGGTAGGTGGGGCTGAGAGAGCTCTTCAGAGAAACTGCTCTTTTTTCAAGAACAGCTCTTATCAGAACTATGGCTTGCCCAAGGTCATCTAGCCAGGTGGAAGTGGAGGAGTGGGAAATCAAACCCGGTTCTCCCAGATTAGAGTCCACGTACTTAACCACCAAATGAGAAGGGAGCACTCACTGGAGAAGACCCTTATGCTGGGAAAGATCAAAGGTCAAAGAAGACGGAGACGGCAAAGGATGAGATGGTTAGACAGTGTCATAGATGCAACGAACATGAAATGGAGAAAACTTCAGAGGACAGCAGAAGACCGGAAGGCCTGGCGTGATCTGGTCCTTGGGGTCGCGAAGAGTCGGACTCGACTGTGCGACTGAACAACAACCCCTATATAAAGATGCTAGGGATAAGACAATCCTCCCTATTTTGAAGCAGGCTAAGGCACGAACTCACAAGATGATTGTGGGGAAATTGTTGGCAGATGAAATACCATCAATCACCAGTGTGATTACAGCCCATGTAATCAAACTGAAGCACAGTTTTAAATCATAGGAGGCTTCCTTCGAGACACAGTCCTAGTGGAGCTACTACAAATGCTGATCCCCATATAGCCAAACACTATTTATACTGGAACGATGTTGTATAATCTGGACATGTGTTTTAATGGTAGTATACCTTGATAGATTTGTAAGTTTTATTACCAATGGACTTGTGCGTGTCATTGGTCTGTTATAAGGCTGTCGACTGTTATAAGTATATTAATTCATAAAGTTATTACCTTCAAAGTAGGAGATTTTTGCTCAGGTTTACTGAATTAAACAGAAGAATAGGGTGCATTTTAACAAATTTTAGCTAGCATAACAATCTAAATTTACTGTTACAATATGTATCCAATTTTAACTAATGTAATTTATGTAAGGTAACAATCGGAATGTCTGTTTGATTACAGTGGTTATGATTTTCTGATCTTAGATCATAATAAACTTACTTACTTACTTGGATTAATCTGCTTCTCATCTGGGTACCCCCCATCTAGAGTATGCATGCCTAGCAATTTGATAAAACATTGTATGTAAATAACAACAACAATAGGCCAAATCCACAGTTCCTTGTGTAAGACAGCAGTCTGATTGTACATGCAGACTTTCAAAGTATTGAGCTCACCAACATTTTCTGGTGTCAAGTTTGATAGTACTGATCATGTTTTACAGGGCAGGAAAGAAGGGTGGCCTGGATTCAGTCCACCATTCTTTTCAAATAGGTGTTTGGCACAGTCAGAGCTGCCTGTACTAAGCATTTGTTAATAAATTTGCATGCAAACCTAGTCCAGCAAGGTGCTAGATCTGGGGAGCTTCTAATCCTAGACAGAACCCTAATAGACAAGCAAAAGTTGTGATCTTACTTTTGTTGGATTGGAGTGATAAAAATTGTGAGCTTACTTTGGTTGCACTAGACTGATAAACTGGAGTTAATTCTTGTACTGTGTGGGGTGCAAGAGAGACTAGTCTAATTCAAGGGAGCTGAACAGTTTACCAGAGATTCCATAGTATTTGCATTTCACATTATTGTGACGCAGGCAAAAACAACTTGGTCCATCATCTTGCTTGAACCATTCCCCTTCCCTACCATCTGGAATATGCTCATATTTCTGGAACCGGTATGCAAAATGACTAAGGGGTTCATAGCTTTTAAGAAAATATCTGTTTTGTAACACTATCAAGCATATTTGCTCCAGCTTTTGAGAACATGCTGTACTTTTTCAGCCTTTGTAATTTATGCTATGCATTCTGTGGTTTAATCATTTTTATATTATTTTGCATGTGCAGTGGGAAAGCCTAATGTGACAACGACAAAAGCAATAAGTAAGTAGCATACCTTGTTTTGTTTTTTATATTAACTGTGGCCTGGTTCTTCATTTCAGGAGGTTGTATCAGTTCAGATTACATTTAGTTTTAAACACATTTGGTTTTATGTGCAGGGACATTTTGTTTTAAAGAGAAACACTCATATGTGAGTCCCATCTGCAATCTGAAGAGGTATTCCCATGTCCCAGACATACTTTTACCACCTTGGTGGGACTCTGTTTCTATATAGTCATATCTTATATTTTAATGGCAAATGTAGGATATCTTTGGATACTTAAATCCAGTGACTGGAGCTGTGAACAGGCAAGACAGATCTTTCTACAAATCTGAAAAGGGCCCTAGGTTTGTAAAAAATTGTGAAATCTAAACAAACTCCAAACACCGGGCAGCTTGAAAAATAAAAAAAAATGATAAAAGGTGCACTTGTAGTTTTAAGCAACAGATTACCTCTGTGGCTATTGCTAGGCAACCACAGCAGTCCAACCTTGGCTCTTTCAGCAAAAGCCAGGGGGAGGGCCCTTTCCAGACCTATTTTGGCCATTGAGGGAGAACTCATTGGGGCCAGGCCTGACTAGAGTTGCCAGCTCCAGGCTGGGAAATTTCTGGGGATCTTGTGACCAAGTGTGAGAGTGCAGGGTTTGGAGAGGGTAGATGCCTCAGCATGGTATAATGCCACAGAGTCCACCCTCCAAAGCAGCCATTTTCTCCAGGGGGACAGATGTCTGGAGTTCAGTTGTAATTCAGTGGATCTCCAGGTCCCACCTGGAGGCTGGCAACCATAGCCCTGGCAGCAATCTCTGAGTTACTTGATGCCACCTGACTTGCATGACTTTAGCAGGCCCAGCTGCTTGCTACTGTTCAACAGCAGCCACCCTGTGAAAGCCAGTTTGGTGTAGTGGTTAGAGCTTCAGATTAGGATCTGCAAGACCCAGGTCCAAATCTCCATCTTGCTGTGGAATCTGACTAGGTGATTTTGGACCAGTCACATACTTTCAGCCTAACCTACCTCACAGGGTTGTTGTGTGGATAAAAAGGAGGATAAGAGAATAATGTAAGCTGCTTTGGTTTCCACTGTGGAGAAAGGTGGGGTATAAAGGAAGTAAATAAAGAATAAACTTAGCTGAAGATGGAAGGCAGATAAAATGTAGGTTGGTGAATGGCTGAGAAGGAGAGAATGAGGCAGGGAGAGGATATGGGGATTGCCAAGAGGAGGGAAAAAATTAGGAAATTCCTTGAAATTTGGGGGGGGAGCCTGGAGAGGGTGGGTTTGAGGAAGGGAGGGACCTTAGAAGGATATAATGCCATAGACGCCACACTCCAAACCCAAATAGGGTTGCCAACTTCCAGGTGGGGGCTGTAGATCACCCAGAATTACAGCTGCTTTTCAGATGACAGAGATCAGTTTCAATGGAGAAAATGACTGCTTTTGAGGGTGGACTTTATGACATTATACCCTGATGAGATTTCTTCCCTCTCCAAACCTTGCCCTTTCAAGGCTCCACTCCCAAATCTCCAGGGATTTCCCAACCTCAATCTGGCAACCCTAAACCAAAGTGATCTCTGTAGGTGGGAGATCTGTTGTGATTCCAGCAGATCTCCAGCCCAGAGGTTGGCAACCCTAGAGGGCGAGAAGGAAGCAGGAAAAGGGGAAACGCTGTGGGGACTTTTAGGAAAGGGAAAGAAGAGGAAATAGTGGGAGAAGGGGAAAATGAGATGCCTCCCACAAGTCCTTACGGGTTCCCACTTGTACCTTCCTATTCATGAACAAAGTGGGGAAAGGGATCTATTTCAGCACAAACAGCATACAGGTTAACTTAGCTAAAACCCTACCTTAGCTTGAAGCCTTGATATGCTGCTTTGCTTTAAGCATTTTCCTTCCAGCCAAGCACACTTTGGTATTAGGAAAAAATGTCTCAAGAATTGCAATACAGCTATTTAAAGGGTGGGGGGAGAGCAGGACTTTGCTTAAAATAAGCAGCCCAAGGACTCTGCACATATGAACATTCAACCTAAGCCAAAGCTTCCCATGTGCTGCAGAGACAACCACAGTGCTCTTGTCAACTACTCCATTCAGTTAAATGGTAACAATCTAGATCTTAATTTGCTCCAGTAAACACTGACCAATGAGGGAAGGAATTAATTAGCTGGATCAAAATAAATGGAAATGATTTATTAAACACAATGCCCAACCCAGCAAGTAAAGTATTACAAAAGTAATAAACCCTTCAAGAAAATAAAATTAAAAAATGGCAAAAAGGACATTGATGTGGTATATGATCACTACTGCCAGAATGACATATGCCCAATGTTGGAAACAAGATAAGATCCCTGAGATTGGGGAATGGATTAAAAAAACTACTTTTTATGGTGGAAATGGACAAAATGACAAGGAAACTTAACAACTTGGAAGCAGAAGAATTTTTCGCAGACTGGAAGGACTTTAAGGAATATTTAGAAAAACACTGGGATGTAAAAGACAATTTGATTTGCTTTGATAACTACTGAAAGTTATAAGAAGTAGAAAATAGATAAATGTATCTGAATAACAGTTGAAAGATAAGGAGGAAAGGATGTATAATGAATTAAGTATTGACATATGCTTAACTTTTTAAATATATCCTAAAAAATTGTTTAAAAAAGAAAGAAAATAAAATACATGGCAAAAAATGTATAACAGAAAACTGGACAAACCTCCGTGCTCTGAAGCCCTGACTGCCACAGAGTTCACCATTTTCTCTAGGGTAACTGATCTCTGCCACCTGGAGAGCAGTTGTAATTCTGAGTGATCTCCAGCCCTCACCAGGAGATTGGCAACAATGGTTTCTCAGGAAGAAAAGTAGTCTTTCTCTGCAATGGGGACCAAAGCAGCTTACATAATTCTCCTCTCCCCCTTTTTACTTGCACAACAACCCTGTGAGGTAGGTTAGGCTGAAAGTCTGACTGGTCCAA